ATATAACCAGTTTTTTTAAGATAGATGTAGTCCTCTAAAAGAAGTAGGAAAATGTTTTCTCTTTAGAAATACCAAAATACAAGATGCCAAGATAAAGAACCGAATAACATTAGATATCTTTTTTCCAAACTGAGAATTCTGTGAAACTTCACAGTTAACAATAGAATATCAGAGACTCTGAGAAGTTCTGTAGGAGAAAAAATATTTAACTGGACATTATGAAATTTTGTTGGACTAAAAGACTTTTTAAAAATTCCATAGAGTATCTCATGACATTCTGTGGGATGCTGTTGGGCCATGAAGGCACTGAGAGGCAGTCACATGTAATGATTAGAAGCAGGGTCCCTGAAAACAAACTGCACCGAGTTACTTACCACCGGGGCATGTTAATTAACTTCTCTGGGCCTCAGCTTTCTCATCTATAAAATGAGGGTATTATAACTTATTTTGTGAAGGAGTTATAAGGATTAGTTGAGTTATATAAGTGTTAGCTATTACTGTGGAACATTCCGCTCTTGGAGCATTGCTATAAAGCTGCTAATATTGTTAATTGGTCTCCCAATTAATGTTCAGAGAATCAATACCATTGTGAAATTTAAAAAAAAATTCAGGGGCGCCTGGGTGGCTCAGTGGGTTAAGCATCTGCCCTCTGCTGGGGTCATGATCCCAGTGTCCTGGGATCAAGTCCTGCATCGGGCTCCCCGCTCAGCGGGGAGTCTGCTTCTCCCTCTGCCCACCCCCCCCCGCTCATGTTCTCTCTCTCACTCGCTCACTCAAATAAATAATAAAATCTTTAAAAAAAATTCAGCTACTGCACTGCCATTGAATGTGCCATGCAGTTATCCTTGTAGGAAGAAATTGCGCTACTGGAAATAAATGTCTATGATTCCATACCACCTGCCCTTGAGTCTTTTGTAGTGAAAGAACTATTTATTTCACTCCCCACAGCATCTTTATCTCTATGATCGGTCTCACTGTTTGACAGGCATGTGGATTCTTGCCTGCTCATCTATTTGAAAGGCACTCCCAAGTGCGTTTTGCATATGTTGTTTCATGTGTATCCTGAGCATCTCTTAGTGTGCCAGAAATCTACCTCACTGTTGTGTTGTCACACAGTGACAAACAGGAAGTTGATTTTATTTTTATTAATTTCATCCTAAGAACACTTCCAGAAATAGTTCACGTTGAAAGCTGCATTTCAAGTACTCCTTCATAAGATATGTTCAGCTCTTTCCTTTGACTAAAATATCAACCTGTATTTAAGTGTGTGTTACTCAAAACATAGGCATTCTTTTTTTTTTTAAATGCCTTTTGGTGAGGGACGCCTGGGTGGCTCAGTCGTTGGGCGGCTGCCTTCGGCTCAGGTCATGGTCCCGGGGTCCTGGGATCGAGCCCCGCATCGGGCTCCCTGCTCGGCGGGAAGCCTGCTTCTCCCTCTCCCACTCCCCCTGCTTGTGTTCCCTCTCTCGCTGTGTCTCTCTCTGTCAAATAAATAAATAAAATCTTTAAAAAAAAAAAATGCCTTTTGGTGATGCTGTGAGAATTTTTTAAAGATTTTGTTTTTTTGCGGGGGGAGAGGGAGGGGTAAAGGAACGGGGAGAGGATCTCAAGCAGACTCTGCACTGAGCACAGAGCCCAATGCAGGGCCTGATCCTACAGCCCTGAGGTCATGACCTGAGGCAAAATCGAGAGTCAGATGCTTAACTGACTGAGCCACCCAGGTGCCCTGAGAATTTTTTATTGTTGCATCTTTTCTGGTGCTCAGCAGTTAATGATCTGTCCAAAGCTGTCTTTGCTGAAGGGCAAAAGAATGACTTAGAAACTATTCTGTCATCTTTTTAAATAGTTTGGCTCAGTTTGGCAAGGCTGCTGGCCAGAGAGGGAAAAATTCACATCTGAAGTGTTTAAGGAAAGATGTCTAAGTGAAAGTATTGAAAAATAAAATAAAAATGGATTTCTTTTAATCGGACTAACGTTTTACCAGGCACTTTTAACTAAAAAAAAATGAGAATTGACTCTGGTGATAAAAGGCACTGGTGATTATTTTTACTCATTTTTTTCTTAACTCACGAAAGTGTGTAGGGGGCAAGGGATTCCCCAGGAGGGGGTGTGAACTAGCTGAAAAGAGGCATTAAACAATTGTACAGATTTAGGTGAATTCATCCCAACCCAGGTGCTGGTCCTTCAAAGGCTCAGAAATTTCCTTTGGTTGGTGTACAGAAAGCAGATGAGAGGTAGGTTCAAACGCAATCAAACACAGAGCGTTCCGTTGGCAGGACGAGGGCTGTATGGTAAGCCCACTTACAATCAGAAGTGTCCAGGAGGACGTGAAATTCAAACAAGAGGAAACGGTTGTATGATTTGCATCATTAATATCATGAAATTTGCCAGACTGAGGCCCCATCCCTCAACATGGAACATGCGCAACAGGGCATAAATGGGTTACTTTCATTTTGAGGCCCAAGTGTTTTCCTTCTGGTGAGAGCCTGGATGGGCATCATTGGCATCTAGCCCCTTAGATCTCCTTTGTCTATGCCCAGGCTCACCGTCTCCTCTTCCTCACCCCATCTTTCTCCAGAAGGACTATCATCCGTTAGATTCCCTCCTATTAAATTATAATCCCAGTCCAGTCCTGCCTCCTGGAGGAAACACCCTCATTTTCTTGATAAAGTTTTGGCTCCTTCTAATCTCCTTGGCCGCTCATTTATAAATCCGTTCTCTTCAGTCCTGGTACAGATGAGCAAAAATCTATTTAGGGCTAATATTGTTAATGAAACTCTCCCAGGGCAATTTCCTTTCCTTTATACCTTTGCATGATTTCCCATCTTCTCTGTCACTTTCCAGTGCTACCCTGTGGTGTTACTGTGCTCCCTCCTTTTATTCTCCTCACTGGGCAGAGCCTTGGAGCTTTAAAGGGCAGATTTGCATTTATGATCCAAGGCAAGGACAGCCATAAGCTTCAACTCAAATATTTTTGTGGCTACCAAGCCCTTGAATAATTTCTAATTACAATTCTACAGAATATTCACATACGGCGTTCTAAATCTGACATTTCAAATGTAAAATACATTCTAAGTGAACCTGTCTGTAATGGTAGCATATTCATCCATTGAACTACCAAGTGGCTTTTCCATTTCAGTGTGAGACCAGATGAACCACAAAAGGGGTGGAAAAACCGGTTGTGTTCTTTATCTGAGGAGACCACAGTTGACAATGATGCGAAAACCAAACCATTAACCTTTCTGAAGACCCCTTTTTGCTCTAACCTTGTTGCTTCCTGTTCATGTCAACTTTGGGACTCTGTCATCTCTGCTGCCTCTAGGATTTTGAAGATGGAGGAAAGGCCTGGAGTCCTTCTGGAAAGCCTGTACTGACCAGGGCAGTTTTCTCAGAGGGGGCTAGCCCTTGACCTATCAGAAGAAGCTCATTTCTGAGTCATTTCAGCCAAGTTATGGTTTGGTGTACAATGTATAGAACAAACACCTGGGGGCTTTGGAAAGCTAGGCTCTGGACAAGATCCTGTCCTTTCAGATTTCCTGAGATTTTGATGTCAGCCTAGCCTTATGGCAACTGGGAGGCCCCAAAGCAGCCTTTGGATATCTAGTTATGTTTGGAAACCTGGCTATAACCAAGCAAACCAAGTGTAACTTGCACATAGACTGTAATTCATAGACCTGGGAGTCTGAGGGACAGTGTCAGGGGATGACACTGAGGGAAACTGACGGACAGTGTCGGGGAGAGGCCACAGGCCTAGAGTCTTCATTCTTATGGGGATGTACAGAGAGAATCTATGTACCAAGCCAATGGAAGAATGTGCTCAAGAGTTAGGGTGAGGGACAAGGCCCGGTGAGCTGCTTATGTTGACAAGGGGAAGTTTTGGGACATCTGTTTTGTGGTATGTAATACATACCTAGAATAATTCACAAATATGTACATCCTGAGATATAGTCATCTTGACAATAAAACATTATCCAATATGGTTGAAGTTCCTGCATTCTCTTTGTACCTCTGAATTCCCCTTGAAATCCCTTGTATTGATAGTACAAATGTATATATTCCTAAATTAGATACAGTGTTACTAGAAATTTTTTTTCCTTCACATATATGCTGTCATTCTGCATGAAGTCTTCTGTCACTTAATTTTTTTTTTTCATTCATTGCTGTGTTTGTGAGAAACATTCCAATGAATAACATTCCAGGTAGCACTGATTCATATTTGTTTTGTTAGTAGTGCTTTGGATGCAGTGGTCCTAGTTGTGGGGAGGAAGGGAAGGAATAGGAGGGAGCCAGTTAAGGGACAGTCCAGGCTGTGCACTTAGTGTCCTGCAGTGGTGACTCAGTTTACCCATGGGTCAGCTGCAAGGGTGGTAACAGGACCTGGCTGGTAAAGGAAACTAATTATAAGGGAAAAAGCTGAATTTGCACAGAGAATCTGGAATCAACTAAATATAAATAATATTTCATGGCAACAAACATACACAGCAATTATTTAATAATTGCATGTTTACAATTCAAATTTTTTTGAGTTAAGTATGTCACTGTTTCAAACATTAGACAATGTATGTGCTATTCAGGAAATGGCCTAATTAATTTTCCTAACTAATTTTTCTCTCCTTTGCTTTCTCTATCTTCCCTGGGTTTTCTGGATTCTGCCCCAGCAGATCTGATTCCTGCTCTGTGCCGTTCTGAAGGATTGGCGTTCGTCCTCATTGGTGAAACAGTTCCCTCCCTGACTGGACACCACAGCAAAGGCTTTGGTGATCTTTCTGTTAGAACAATAATGACTTTCTTGGAATGTAATCCCAGTGGTATCTCTTTTTTGTGTAGCCCGGAAGAATACCTGACTACCATCGGCACTTCTTCAGAGACCTTATAAAAACCACGCTGCCATCAAACACAACTGAGTGACTCTGGGCTGTTCAGGGGGGCCTTAAGAACTGTGGCTATCGATTCACCTGGAAGATTCAACCACTGCTACCCAGAGCTGCTGCTGGAATACCATGTCTAAGAACTCGGAGTTTATCAATCTGTCATTTTTGTTAGATCATGAGAAGGAAATGATCCTGGGAGTCTTAAAGAGAGATGAATACTTGAAAAAAGTGGAGGACAAGAGAATAAGGTAATATTTTTAAAAAACTTTTCTGCCTTTCCTGACTGTTGTCTGTTTGAAGCCAGTTAGATCAGAAATTGGGCGACTGCGACCATGCTGGGGACAAATGTTGGTCAGTGACTTCATGGGTTCCGAGCGTAGCCCAAATATCAGAACACATCTTTGATATTTTATCATTAGCTAGATGGGAGGATGGAATTGAGCAGATAAAATGATGTTGATGAGAATGCCCATTTGCTAATAACATCCTGAGTGGTAGTGAAGTAGAAGGACCACCTTCCACTTTGAATACCCGCTCTGAGATGTGTTAGTTGTGTGACCTTGATCTAGTGACTCAGTTTCTCCATGCCTCGGTTTCCTCATCCCTAAAACAAGGATAATAAAAGTGCCCACCTCGTAGGATTGTTGCGAGGATTAAGGAAGATAATACATGTGCCGTGTCTGGTATGTAAGTTCACAATTATTTATTTATAATGCCTTTCTCAAGTCAGTCTTTTTGGGAATTCCTTCCCACCATAGCTGAGAGCAGAAGGGGATCTGGATGGATATTAAGGAGGGCACATATTGCATGGAGCCCTGGGTGTTATACACAAACAATGGTATGGAACACTACATCAAAAACTAATGATGTACTGTATGGTGACTAACATAACATAAAAAAATATTGCTAACCAAAAAAAAAGGGGGGGATCTGGAGAGTGAAAAATTCTCATTTTTACCCCAAAAATGGCCTGAATTTTTAAAAATAAGTTTCTGTGTGAGTAACGTTGAGTAATATGGGGACAGTTGAGTTTCCCATCAGTTGGGGGCAAGGTTGCTATCTAGCGGGATCCCCAGGCATGACCTCACCTGTGTTTCAGCTAGCATCCATTCTGATTGGTTGCATCACCTCTTCCGAATGGTTGCAGCATTGTTCTGATTGGTTGTCACATCCATTGGGATTGGTTGCTGCTTGTGCCGTGCTGCTTGTTAAATATGTTTGGCTATTACATCTCTCCCCTGACTGGAGGAGCAGAAATAAACAGAGTTCCCTTCTCAGCGACTACCTACTGTGCAGCAGGTAGCTTTTTTGTCTTACGTGTCTCCCCAAACTATGATCATTCTGACCACAATGCTGTGAAACCAGAAGTCAGCCGTAAGAAAAATTCTGGAAAGACCACAAAAGTTTATTTTTTATTGAGGAGAAAACCTATCTTAAGGTTATCTTTATATGTTGCAAAGATATTCAGTGTGCCTAAAGGAACTAGGATCCTAGAATTGGAAATACATTGAAATGTTCTCCATTGATGCTTAATTCATAGTTAAGAGCCCAGAATTTTTATTTCCATCATTCGTAGGTATTCAACCAATCTTAAAGAAATAAAGGCTTTGATGAAAATTATTGCAGTTTTTCTATGCCTGGAATTCAGGTTAAGGCAGTTAATGATTTTTAAAGATATCAGAAATGATGTTTTTGGCATTTGTATTCCAGTCATGAAAAGTGACTAAATTTTCTGATGTGCTGCAAAAAGTTATATTGTTTATGGGAGGTGAGGTACTAGCTAGTAACTGATGACATGCACGGGGGAATTAAAAATCACTCTACTCAGGAAAACACAATTTAATAGCCGCATCCTCAGAAACGCAGAAGTACAATGAATAGGAATTTGTTCAGGATATTTGCTTCTATCATTCCCAATAACTTTTCCTAATAATGTTATACTCTTTTCCTTTTTTTGTTTCTTCCCTTGTCCTTTTTCCTTATTCTCTGTAAAGAAATTTAGCCAAATGTATAATATACAACAGAGCTACTGAGAATAAATTTGCTGCTTTCCTCCCTCTTCAAATGTGTTTGAGGAAAGCAAAAGAAAGGCTTTGATAGATCTAAGCGGTACCATTATAGAAAATAGATTTTTTAAAGCTGCTATATCTTCTCTTCTTTAATAGCAATAGTGGCTAATATTTTATTGAGGTTTGTTTTTTTTTTTTCTGCACCAACTGTATTAGATATGTTGTCTCCTTTTGTTCTCAGCTACCAACATATGAGCCCAGGTCAGATGACTCAGGCTCTGCCACTCTTCTAGCTTTGTATATTGAGAAGCCACACCAAAGTGAGTGGCATGGTGTTTAGAGTGTGTGCTGTTGAATCACATATCCACATTTGTTGATTCACATCTCAGTTACACCATGAAATCTTTGTGTCACTTTAGATAGGTTGCTTCCATGAATACATCTAGTTCCTTCATTTGACAAAACAGAAATAATAACATTAGGCACTTCAAAAGGTTGTTGTAGGGATTAAATAGGCTAATATTATCAAGAGCTTAGAAGAATGCTGGCGTACAGTCAGTACTTAATAATTGCTGGCTATAATCCTCAGCCCTCTCGTTGGTATGTGTTGTAGTGAACACTAGCCGTGCTCCACTGAGCTCCGCTCAGGTCCCTTGTGGTCTGTGCTCTCATCCTCCCAGTTTCCACATGTTTACTGCTAAGGATGGTGTCTACTACCTTCTTTAGAGGACTACTCTTGGGTGGCTAGAGTTGCCCGTAGGACTAGAGAGCCACAAGTACCAGGCAAACTTGAGTTTCTGTCCCCACTGGGCAGCCCCAAGCCAATGGCTGACAGACTGCAGTGCAGCTTCTGCCTCCTAGCTTCCCGTGGAATCATGCTGAGGCTGGACTTCACCTAAAGACCACACCCTTACTTAGCCCCTCTTCCCTATTCTCTCCTGCCTCCCCTATTCCCATTTGTGTTCCTCCTGAGAGTACTCCATAAGTCGCTTGCACACAAATCTACATCTCAGAGGTAGCTTTTGGAAAGCCCAACCAAGAAATTTGCCAGACCAAACAGGGAACTTAATTGCTGTTGCAGTAATTGTTTTTACCATGTTATAGAAGTACAAGTTGATATTTTGTCAGCGTCTAGAGGAAGTGGAATTAATTACGAATAAGACAGAAATTGAAGGAATGGTTTCACAGAAGAGCTAACGCTTGAGCTTGGCCTTGAAATGTGAAAAAGATTTGACATTGGCACTTATATGTCAAATGCGTTTTAGCTGTTTACCATGAACCACAAAATTGCCTTCAGATTCTGCTAATGAGTTTCGGAAGGAAATGGAAGACCAAGAAAAGTTTTAAGAATTATGATTACAGAGAAGTAAACGATACGGAAAGTTAGTAAATTGGACTTTGGAAAGCAGTGGATTTATTGTTTCTTTGTGGTGTGTTTATTCCTTTCAGTAGGTTATTCGTAAAATAGAAAAATAGAAGAATGTAAAAATTGTGTTGAATCAGTGCTTTAGGCCTGATGCCCAACTGTGCTCTACAGTCCACATAGCCCCTGAAGTATGGCATTAATTAAAATGGGACTGGTCTCTGGGTGTTCCTGAAGGTGCTTTGCACCCAGAAGGCACATGGCAAGCCTGATAATTACCTCCAGGCATGAGCTGTAGGCTGGTAAGAGGTGTCCACCTACTCACAGAGCATTTTAGGTTCGCCCAAGAGGCTCCAATGTATTTGTTTTCCTTCAGACCAAACAGGAAGAAATGGTAGGAGATATCTAGACCCAGGTTTCAACTATTACAGAGTAAGAGTATTTTAAGTGTTCTCTGTGAAGAACAAATCACTTCGTTTTGCTGATGGCTTTAATGCAGTGAAAAAAGAGGGAGGAAGTGATGCTGATAAAATTGAGCTATCAACAGTGAATGCAAATGGGAAAAATAGAGTTTGGAAGCACAAAATAAAGATCTTTGTTGATCATTTTTTCTAACTTTGGAAGAGCTCGCCCTAACATAAAAGAGGACATGGTTCATAGTATCTACTCCTAAAAAAAATCTCATTAACAAAATCTTACTCTGCTTGATCTTCCACACCTAAAAACAAATGTCTACTTCGTGGTATTGGCCTATATAAGAAATCTTCAATTTATAATTTTAGCAGTTCATTTGGACCTTATTCTTACTGAGAAGATGTCATTTCCATTTGGCCACAATAGATGAAAATGTATCTGGACTTAATGTTCTCTTTGGCACCTATTCTTGGGCTTGTCTCAGTAATGAACTCTGCTGGTCGCCTTACAGCATACATTTCTCTTTTCTTCCTCCCTACCCAAATCTCGATTTTACTCAGTAAAAATCCACTCAGTAGTGGATTTTTAAAAAATAATCATCCCTTGACTAATAGTCCTCTAGCAACTGTCATTGGTCTGGAGGTAGACATGAGATCAAAAATGACCCACTCAAACATATAGCCCAGATTTATGGAAAGTTCTCTTTCCCACAGGACATGTTCAGTGAAACATGTTATCACAGTTGCTGTTGAGGATGAAAGCCAGCACAATGATGAAGCTGAGCCAAAAGAATGGCAGAGAATTGTTGCCAACATCCTGGTATACTGGAACCTGCCACACCACTGGGCTTCTTCTATAAGCATATATTTCCATGTTATTTATAGCGAGTTGAGTCTGATTTTCTGTTACATGCAGCCCAAGGCATCCTGCAATCTCTAAGATTCAGAAGTAATCAACATTTGTTGAGAACCTTCTGTAGGCCAAATGCTGTGTATTTATTATTGGAATAATAAAGGTGAGCAGAAGGGTGCCTGGGTGGCTCAGTAGGTTAAACATCTGCCTTCAGCTCAGGTCATGATCTCAAGGTCCTGGATGAGTATCAGGACCCAGCTGAGGGATGTGCCCATGGCCACGGCAGCCCCTCCTGAAAGCCCAGCATAGCAGGTGCAGCAGCCCCCAGCCACTACCTGAGCCCAAAGCACCTGCCATTCCTGGGAGCTGAGCTCAACATGGCCTGTGAGGACTCTGCTCCAGTGCCTGGCCTCTCCGAGGCTCTGCTGTCTCTCCATGCCTGTCTCTGTGGGGTTGGACCTCCCAGCTTCACAGAGCACTCCCCCAGTTACACACACACATGCACACGCACACACACACTGGCATGGAGACAGGCCTGCCCTTGGTGTCTTGGAAACATCCCCCAACATAGTGTGCTTCTCCCTCTCCCCGTCCCCTGCTCATGCTCGCT